TATTTCATCTCTTCTTATGGCTGAGTAATATTCCATTGTATATATGTACCACTGCTTCTCTAGCCAATCATCTATTGTAGGACACTTCGGTTGCTTCCATATCCTGGCCACTGTGAATAATGCTGCTATGAACATTGATGTGCAAATATCTTTTCAGATATGGGTTTTCAAGTCTTTGGGGTAAATACCCGGCAGAGGGATTGCTGGATCATATGGTAGATCAATTCTTAGTTTTTTACAGAAACTCCATACTGTTTTCCAGAGTGGTTGTACCAATCTGCAGTCCCACCAGCAGTGTATGAGGGTTCCTTTTTCTTCACATCCTCTCCAGCACTTGAAAAATAACCAGATTTTTTAAAAATAAAATTCCTTGAAATGAAAAATATAATCATTGAAATTAGAAATGCACTGGGGGAGGTGGCCAGCTGACACATAGGGTATGTTTATTTTTGAAGGTTTCCAGCATTGATCCATGCTTTCTTAATTGTTATTTTTTAACAGCTTTATTAAGATATAATTGATATACAAAGAACTGCACATATTTAATATATAACTTGATGAGTTTGAACATATGCAAACATCAGTGATATCATCACCACAATCAAGGGAATAGTCCTATCAGACACCTCCTAGTTTCCTAGCATCCCTCTGTGTTTTCTTTTGTTTGTTTTTGTTCTGCTTTTGTGGTAAGAACACCTCTTAACAGATTTTGAAGTATTTAATACTGTATTGCTAACTGTAGGTACTATGTTGCATAGCAGATCTCTAGAACTTATACATCTTGTATAACTGAAATTTTTTACCCATTGTACAGTAAGTCCTCCTTTTCCCCCAAACTCTAGTCCCTGTAAACCATTATTGTAGTTTCTGCTTCTATGCATTTGACTATGTGATATTTGTCCTTCTGTCATCAGCTTATTTCACTTAGCATAATGTCCTTCAGACTCATCCATGTTGTCACAGATGTAAGGATTTCTTTCTTTTTTAAGACTGAATAATATTCCATTGTATGTATATACTACATTTTCTTTATCCATTCACCTATTGATAGACGTGGTGGTTGTTAGCATATCTGGGCTATTCTGAATAATGCTGCAGTGAAGATGGGAATGTGATCCATACATATTCTATTAAGATATCGTAAAATATAATGATCCCTTAGAGCAAGAATTCTTAAGTGGAGTCTATAACCTATAGAATTCAAAGAGTCTGTGAACCTGAATAGAAAATATTTACATATTTATTTTTTATATCTGCAATCTAGAATGTCTTTCAACTTTAAATGTAAACAACAAACATACTGGTAATAACAATAATAGTATTTCACCAACATAAATCTCAGATATTTTTATATCATATAATTATTGCAGATATCACAAAAGATTGTTTATACTCATCAGAATCATAGTACTCATTATTATACATTTATAGATACTTCTTTGATATAGTAATATATACTCTTTTTTAAAGAGTATATATTACTATATCACAATTTTTATGTTTTTGATAACTATTCTTTAATTGACTGCTTCTGTAATCATGTGTATTTTATTTTATTCATTTAAAAATCATTACTTAGAGCAGTTCCTAGGCTTCATCTGACACCCACAGGTGTCTATGGCACAAGAAAGGTTAAGAATAATACTATAAAAACAAACTTAGAAAAGAAGATGTGACTATTTAAAATTAATTCCCTCGTTATTATTAACTCTAAAAATGGTCCTTAAATATAGCCATTTGACAAATTTTGCTAAGTATATTTTTATTTTGGCTTTCAAGTTTTATTATAAACAATCATCACAAATTTAATAGTGAAAAAGGAAATGAGTAAAGACAGAGAGAAATGGGAGACGTTTTCTGATTTATCAACTATTAGCTATTACCTTCTATCTTATCCAAAAAGAAAAAGAAATTTATTCAAATACCTCTACTTCTCTTAGTTATTTCCAAATCGCTCAAGAATTTACACTGAAAACTAAGCATATTTTAACCACTTGAGGAAGTAAATTACTTGTATTTACTACTTGATGTTTAAAACATAATTTAGTTTTCAGATATTTCCACCAAGAGTTTGAGTTTGGGTTTCCCACGATTTGTTTAACAAAGCTACTTCATTACATTCCATTTTAGATCTCTTTCCAAAATACAAAAATGAAAATCGAATATTTCCCCTTCAAACTGACATTTACCCACTTTAACTCCTCTCTGGACTTTTCCTATGGAATTCTATCTTAGTCCTTGGATTTCTATGTGTTTGAATCTCAAGTTCATTAAACCCAGCTGACCCACCTCACTCCAACCAGAACTTCAGAAAAAGCTATGAACAGCAGCACTTGTTCTAGCTGGCTCATCCTGAGCCTCTCCCTGTTTACTCTTAAAATGGGCCTCCTTTAATCTCCAATTCTAAGATTCTGGCACAATGACCCAGTGCTGATGTCAGCATCTAATAACTCTCTGGATCCTAGGCTGTCACTGAAATTTGTATGCCATACTGATTCTGTGGTTCTGCTCTCACAGCTAATTTTGCACTGCCTTGAGCGAGAAATCTCCATGCTAGAACAAACCTTCAAATTCCCAGAAGACAGGGCTTTGGACATCTACTCCTTTTTTTTCATACAGCCCAGCCAGACCTGGAAGGATCTATATAACATTAGCCACTGGACTTTTACATGACCTACTATGGGATCATTGATCCACTCCTGTAACTGAAATAAAATAGACCTTGTTACATTTTCAAACCTACGTAAGCAACTTGACATATCCTATAGAACACAAAAGTGGTCTTTTCTGAAAGTTTTCCTAGAGGATGGGGAAACACAGTGAATTATACTTCACAACCCAGAGAAAAATTACCCTCAAATGTTTTTTTATTCATCTTTCTCCCCCAAATCCCCATATCATACAGCAGTAGCACTCTCTCTTCCTTCCTTCCTCCATTTTTCTCTTCCCCTTCCCCCTCCCCACTGAATCTCCAGCTCATCGCGGCTCTATAAGTTCCATGTGAGCTATAAAAAAAAATGAAAAAGATCTCTATAAACTCATGTGAAGCAATTTCCCAAAGACATTGTGAAGTGACTAACAGTGCAATGCATAAGAGCAGATACAGTATGCTACCTTTTGTGTAACAAAAGACAGGGAAGTAAGCAATCATACATATACCTGCATAGCTTTACAAAAAGAAACAAGAAAGTGGAAACCTAGAAACGGTAAATTTGGTTACCTACAAAAGGTGAGGGGAACAAAGTGAAAGATATATGCAACCTAGTGACATTTCTCAGAATTCCTATTTTTATAGTTTTGACTTGAAACATGTTAATGTTCTACACACTCAAAGAATAAACAAATAAAAAAAAGGATAAGGGGAAAAAATCTAAAGCTGATAGCAAACTAAAACAAATGAACTGAATCTTATTTCAAAAGAAAACCATAACATTACAGGGATGGGATGGCAATGAAAGAACTAATTCAAGTAAATTATCATCACAGCATTTGACTCTCAGCCTTGACTAAGGCATAAAGTAGGGGTAGAAAACAGCAGACACATCCTGAACTCTTTTTAACAGATTTGGTTTTTAGTGGTATGACAAGGAAATTCTGAAGTTATTTTATACCCATTTATAGGATTTAGCAAATAAATATATCAAGGTTGTTGGGAGCCATGGTTTTCTCACTGTGGAAGAAGGGAAAAATTAACATGGTACAGGGAAGGCTGTACCATGTTACACACACACACACACACACACATATATGCATATATATATATATATACATACATGTATATATCTGCTTGTATATGTGTATATAAATATGTACTTAAGAAATTTATATGTGAATATATACATATACATACAGCATGGATATATATGGGTATGTATACATATATGTCTATACACCCACACATATGTTCTGGTTCATAGAAAGGCTTAAAGGCAAAGCTATCATTGTAGCAGTGAACACCTCTAGTGCCCAGATCTTAATCTCTAATAACAGTCCCCACTAAAGGGAACCAGGAATCCTAGTTTCCTTGACACCAGACTTCACTCAATTGCTCAAACTAAAACTTTTAAATTAACTTTGAAAAATGAAGTTATTATTGATTAAAGATCTCCAAATACTCTCCATGTTCTTTTCAAAAGTATATTTATTTAAAAATATTTTATTTTTAAATGAAATTCCTAGAGTACTTTGGCAAATAACTTATTAAACTCTTTTTTAAAACCCTGTTTTATAATTAAAAACAGAAATGAGCTGTTGATATGAGTTTACTAGGTTGTGGAATAACAAAATGTCAATATGCTTAGAGACTTACTATTCTGTTTATACCTATGTCATTGAAGAAACTAGGAAATTAACTTGTAAATAGAGTTGTCTTAATGTGGAAAACATCTATCTTTTGAGTCAACAGATTTTTCCTAGATTGTGTAGAAGTTATTGAGGAAGATCCTGATTTATGGGTTAAATAAAGGGTTTGTCACACAAAGAAGGAAGATGAGGTGAAGAGACATAGGAAGATGGCCATCTACAAGTCAATGAGCAAAGTGGAACAGATCCCTCTCTCACAGCCCTCAGAAGGAACCAACCCTGCTGATACCTCAGTTTTGGACTTTCAACTTCCAGAACTGTGAGACAACAAATGTCTATTGTTTAAATAAAAAAAAAAGATTTTGTCATTAGTGTCTCTTCTGACTTTCTTGAGAATAACTAAGTGAACACTGTTTTTAACCCAAGAAAGTTGACCATATAAGAAGGTTCCAATTGTATACCTTTTATTCACCCCATACAAACTCTTGTTTTGTATCCTTTCTCCCTTGATTTAACTTTTTGGCACAGAACTTACAGTCTCTTTACCAACAATAGTTAGCAGCCTTAGTGGACAAGTAGATTTCGAAAAGTGGTTTATTATAAAGGGAAAAAAAAAGCATATGGTCTTTAGCGTTCTCTTGGATGCTGGGACCTAAGTAAGCATCCAGGATATAAACCTTTAGATGATATCAGGAAGGAGCCCTGTGAAACACCACTAACCTATCAGCAAATGACTCACCCTGCTTCCTACTGATAAGGTCAATGAAGAAAGGAGTGACGAATGCCCCACGGGGAAAAGCTCTAACTGGGACTCCAGGCACTATCCTAGGCAGTTAAACCTACACTTGACCTAGGGTCTGGCTCAGCAAGTGTGGGTGTCCTGAAAACTCAAAACAGGAAAGCAATCTGGACTTCGTTCAGGTCTACTTGTTCATTCTTCAGAGATCAAAAGTGAGATTGAAAGAATTGCACAAGACGAAACAGTGGCACACTTTGAGTTAAAACCTTAACCTTTAGTCTGGATTCTAGAATTTTCTCTGGAACAATTTGTATAATGCTGATTTTTTAAAATATAAGATGCTTTAATAAGCTAATGAATATAATGCACACGAGTTATTAAAATGTATATAAAGAAATTGTTGAAGTAAAATTTCCAATTTATGAAAATGATTATGGCTGAAAACAGACACAAGTGATGTGTTGTAAAGAAAATGAAGGAAAAAATTTTAAAGCAAAGCATGTTAGCCTTGAAAGAACACTGGAGAGTCAACTACTTCAGAGATTTTTCAAGGGCTTTTTGTTGACTTTGTGGGGAGTTGTGGTTTTGGGGGCGGGGCGGGGGGACCGATGGTTTGTTTTTATTTGGAATGCTTTAAACAGTGCCTCCTGATGACACCTTTTCATTCCTAGAGACTTAATCACAGTTTGAAGCCCTCTTGTTTTATTTAACAGAAACTGAGAGCCAGACGCCCCCCCCCCCATTTAATAAGAAACAAAGACATTACTTAATGAAATAACGAAATAAAAATACTTTACCCATTCTTATTATGCTGCAAAGGGAGGCAGAGAGAAAGGAGAGAAAGAGGAGGAAGTCGGGGAAGGAGTCCATCCCCGTGCCCCCTGCTCTCTGCCCAAAGAGCCGTGTTTGGGCGTTCAGACCCAGACCAAGCTTCTGGGCGGAGTTTGACAGAGACGAGCAGCCAACGAGTGCCAGAAACCCACCGCTCCTCCGTACTCGGTGACCTCCTAGAGACCGGGAGGTGGCCGGAAGGCCTGAGATCTGCTCCGTGGTTCAGTGGGAGAAGAAGTGGAGCAAGGTGAGGGTTCATTCTTGGAGTAAGCAACTGCAGAGTGAATGCAAAACTACAGAAAGCTGCAAAAGCAATGGAAGATCTGGTCCCTGACAGGATAGAATTTATAGTCGAGTTAGGGCGTGCGCGCGCGCGCGCGCGCGCGTGTGTGTGTGTGTGTGTGTATCCATGCTAGAAAAGAATCCCCAGGGACAAATTCTTAGGAATATGTTGTAGACATGTTCCAGAACTGGTTGGTATGTATGGAAATCCTGCTGGATTGACCAGACACAGTGCGATCTTCAAAGGTTTTTTGCAAAAGTTGTCTGTACATTACCAGGGTTTGAGAAATACCAGCCCCAGTGCTGCATCACAATTGTTTTGGAAGAATGATGAATTAAAATGCTTGGATCTTAACGTTAATCCTGCGCCTGGGGACCATGGAAGCTAACTTGATGCTCTGATTTAGGGAGTGATTGTGTCTAAATAGTTAAGTTACATGAAAGAATCATGAATTGGAAGGTTCATTAAAGAACCCCTCAGGCCCAGTGCCTTTTTTTCCCCCTAAAAGTTAAATATTTAAACCAATCAAAACAGACATTTATTTATCTTAAAGTTAATACTTTCTCATGTATACTAATGACTCATTAATCATTTATTTAATACAATAAAGTTACATAGGAGATACAAAAGACCACAAAGAGGGTCCTCTAACAGTCTACTGGGGATACATAATAGTACACAGCCCATTTACTTGTAAATGGACATGAGTGTAGTATGGAATAGTTACCATTAAAAAAATCAGTAAGGAAAGGAAAGTTTATTCTTTATGTGATGTGGAAATGAAAGGATTGGAAAAAATCCTGTCAGTGTCTCCCATCACACCCTACTGCTAAAATTCAAAAGAAATAAAAAATTAAGTATTTTTAAAATCATAAATCTGCATGAAGCAAATTTAAGTATATGTATATATATATATATATTATCTTAGAATCGGAAGGCCTTTCTAAATGAACTCTTTGAAAGAAATAGCAATAAAAATATTGATAAGCTTAACTATGAAAATGTAAAACTTCTTTAAAAAAACCAAATAAAATTAGAAGAAAAAATTAAGAAAATATTTAATATAAGATATGCTAAAAGTTTATATCTTTACTATAGAAAAGTTTTTACAACCAGTAAAATGAGCCCTGAAATAGAAAGTTGGCCAAAATTATGATAGGCAAATAATTACATTTATAGTTATTAAAAAATCATTTGAAAAAGAGTTTTCAAGAAAAGATTGAAAAATAATTGTCTCACAAAAAGTTAAAGGAAAGGAAAAGAAAACAGATGCAATATTTCATGTCAATTCATTAAAAAAGTTACATGTTATTATTTTATACTAATGCACTCGAATTAAAATAGCTACTCATTTTCTGAAAACTGAATTGGAAAACAATTTCTAAGGGATAATTAGCTAATGGATACTAAAAATCTTAAAAGTATATTTTTTAACACAGTGATTCTATTTGAGGGAATTATTCTATGGAATAGTCATAGACTCACACAAAGATCTGTGAAAATTATAATTGCTCTCCAATGACTTGAGAAATGCATAAAGTAAAGTGTAAATTGAAAAAGGTGGTTACAAAGAAATCCTAAGTTTGCGCTCATTATATATACTTGTATGTATCATACACGCATATCCATGCAGAAGACTGAAGGAAATATTCTGATTAAATATTCAAATATTCAAATATTCTTGAGTGGTCTTCACTGGATCATAAAATTATGATTTTCCAAAAATTTTAATAAAGAATGTGAATTACTTGCATAATTAGAAAACATATTATAAAATAGCAAATAATACAAAAGAACAAAAATAACAAATTCTCAGAAACTAGATAAAATTTTATAAAATTAAAAAGCAAAAACTTATAAATTGACTTTCTAAAATATGCAATTTAAAACTAATAGATCACAGGCCTATTATCATCATCATTATCATTATCATCATATTACAATTAGTATAAATGTTTCTACAAATAATTGTCTTTTATGATTTCCAGTGACTTCTCACATTATTTTTGCTTAACTATAATAAATTGGATTTATTGTTAAAAATGTGTGAGACAATCAAATAAATTTAAACATAGATTGAATATTAGACCATATTTAAATTATTATTCATTTTGTAAGTTGAAATTATTATTCATTTTGTAAGTTGTGATAATGTGTACATGAAACACATTCTTTCAATTAGCAATGCATAATGAAGTATTTACAGGTGAGATGTCACAATGTCTGGCATTTGCTTAAATACCCTATCCAAATATATATACACACATAGATATATATGTATATATGACTAAATCAAACAAGATTGTCAAAATAGTGATAATTCTTGAAACTGGATGATAGCTTTGTGAGAATTTATTATACTTTTTCTCTACTTTTGTATATACTTTAGATTTTTCACAATAAAAATTTGTAACATGTTAATGGAACAGCTCTGGCAGCCACTGATAAGTGTACTTTATTCTAGAGTGTACTTTATTCTAGAAATCAAACAGAATGCACCTTCTAAGGCAGTAGAATTTTTTTTTCAGTACTCTTTTATCTTGCAAAAATGTAAAATATCACACTGACTTCTGAGTTATCTCCCTTCCCCTGGACGCCTAACACATACTCCTCCTTTTCTATTAACAGTGCATGCATACTAGAAGTGGATCAATAGCCATGGCGAAAATCATTTTTAAAATCTCATTAAAGTTGTTTATTGTATTTTTAAAAGCATATTTTTTAAAAAAATAATTTATATTTTTATTAAATAAGTCAATGTTCCCATCAATTATAGATAAAAATTAAAAATTTATTTGTATAACTAATGTCAACATCAATTTGCAAAATAGTAGCATCCAAAAAACTGCTCCTATCATGCCATTCCTATAACATGTTCCTTGTTGCCACATTTGGGGACAAAGATTAAGAGGACAATTAAGATGGAATGGAATGATACCTCTCTTGTGTTATTTTAATTTTGGTTCTTTCTTCTGCTATAGAGATGGTTCTTTCTTCTGCTATTATAGAAATATAATAGATGAAACCTCTTGCTTATGAAAATCTCTCATTACTTCCAAGCTGTTATCAGCCTTCTGCTTACAAGACTTGTCTAGGTTATTAGTTTGTCCTATCCCAGAATTTTAAGCTTAAGTTGGTCTGTTTTAGGGGTGGACTTGCCATGCATAATCTGCAAACACATGGGGATTTGACATCATCAGACTTCTTTGATTCTTTCATATCCTCGAGATCCTTACTCGGCCCTGAACTCTTGGCTCTGTAACCCAGACTTCATCCTTGCCTGAACATTTTAGGCGTTCCCTACTGTTTATACATCAATTTCCCCAGCAGACCCTGATTTATCATGCTTCAATTACTGTCCACTTCCTAACCCTTGGTTCCAGTGAATTCTACATGGTCCTCCCACTACAGTCTTTCTAGCCTCTCTACTTCCCTGCCGCTGCCCCAGCCACTGCAACCACAACCCA